TTTTTTTTTTTTTTTTGAGACAGAGTTTCACTCTTGTTACCCAGGCTGGAGTGCAATGGCACAATCTCGGCTCACCGCAACCTCCGCCTCCTGGGTTCAAGCAATTCTCCTGCTTCAGCCTCCTGAGTAGCTGGGACTACAGGCATGCGCCACCATGCCCAGCTAATTTTTCTATTTTTAGTTTAGAGATGGGGTTTCACCATGTCGACCAGGATGGTCTCAATCTCTTGATCTTCTGATCCACCTGCCTCAGCCTCCCAAAGTGCTGGGATTATAGGCGTGAGCCACCACGCCTGGCTGCAAAACTGTTTCTTTATATTACATTATAAGTAATTATATTACCGTTTCCTTATTTTAAGCAGCTCTCAGGCTTGCAAGGCCCCAGGGTCACAAAACAAAATATCTCCACTCTAAAAGTGTGTCCTTTCAGAATGCTACAGACTCAAATGGAATTTGCTAACAGGAAAAAACGCTTTTTCCTAAAAGTAGCGTGTTTCCTGAGCAAGTTGCATTCACTAGGGAGTATATCTACCAGCATCCTCCTAGAATAAACCACAGCATTATTCACAATAGTCAAAAGTTGAAGCAACCTAAATCTCCACTGACAGATGAATGAATAAACAAAATGTGGTACACCCATACAATGAAACATTACTCAGCCGAAAAAGGAATGAAGTTCTGATGCATGCCAAAATATGCATGAACCTTGAAAACATTACACTTAGTGAAATAAGTCAAATGTCAAAGGACAAATATCGGACGATTCTACTTAAGGCAGGTTCCTGGATTAGTCAAGTTCAGAGTGGGACAGTAGAGTGGGCAGCCACTACATCTTGAATGACTGTAATGTCTACCATTAGTTGCGCCCTGATTTAAACAAAATTAAAAAATAAAAATAAATGAAAAATAAAAAATGAAGTAGAATGCCAGTTACCAGGGACCAAGGGAAAGAGAGAACGAGGAGTTAATGTTTAATGGGTATAGATTTTCTGTTTAGAATGATGAAAACATTCTGGAAATAGACAGTGGTGATGCTTATACAATATTGTGAATGTACTTAATGCTGCTGAACTGTACACTTAAAAATCCTTAAAATGGCAAATGGTATGTATATTTCACCACAATTGTTTAAAAATAGCAAATATATTTCTCTGTCCAGAGGAGGCTATCCAGACACATTGATAAGAACACACTCTGCTTCCTGAGGTCTGAGCATCACCTCCCCATCAGCATCTTGCTCTGATCTCAGCCTGGCCTGACTCATTGCCCCATTATGAACAAGTACCACCTAACCCATGGGCCCTCCTGAGCCCAGAGCACCCAGCCCTTACTGTGGGCAACTCACCCGGCCGGAGGTTCACGGCAATTTCCTGCGGCGTCATCTGAATGACATCCCAGCCCGCTGAGCCGGAACCTTTGCTGCTGAGGGGCAGGCTCCGCAGGACACGGGAGCTGCTGGCTGGGCTCTCCATCTGGCCTCCACAACCGTTTCTCACAAGGTTTGCCCTCAAGTCACACCGAGAGATGACTGACCGTGGGCTGCCAAAGTCCTAGGCAGGGAAACAGAGGAAGAGAGCAGGAGGTGGTCAGGGTGTCTCCCAAAAACATCGCATGTCGTGGCCACATCTCCATCCAGTTCACCTTAAATTCTCTACATTCCATTTTCATTGTCTGAAAATGGAGGAAATGGTAATCCCTAACCCAGACGCCTTGCCAAATATTGTAGGGATTAACTGAGCTGCTGTATATGAAAACATTTTGTAAACTGTAAACACATAATAAAGATGTTCAGTTTCATTCTTATTTTGATGGTTAAAATGCTCCTAACTGCCTACATGATTAGCAAGGGAAATGGAAACGATCAAAAGTTGTATAGCTAAATTTTTTTAAAAGTTGCTATATATTGCTGGGTGTGGTGGCTCGTGCCTGTAATCCCAGCTACTTGGGAGGCTTAGGTGGGAGGATCGCTTGAGATCAAGAGTTTGAGACCAGCCTGGGCAACATAATGAGGCTGCATCTCTAAAAATAAATAAATAAGTAAATGAAATAATACATAGTTAAACAAATAAGATGACATATATGGCTGAAAAGTCTTCCCCCGGGCATTCAAGAGTTAACGTTTGAGCTGTTCACTCATTATCTTTTATAGCCACTGGATGCTGAATCATCGTTCAGGAGAACAACATGGCAGTACAGTTCATATTCACTGACCCAGTGCTCTACTCCAAGAAACTTCTTACAAGAAAATCAGCCAAAGAGAAAGGAAGCATTCTATGTGATATATATTATAATATTATTTATAATATAATCTTTAAAACTTGCAAACCTAAATCCTTAAACCATAAGAATAACATAAAGAAAAAATTTAAAACATTTACACTAAGGAGGAAAAAAATCCAGTATATAGAATTATATTTATTAGAATTTGAAAGAAAAATTTAAAATGAGGTGTTATAGTAAAGGGAAGAAAACATTTTTGCTTTTATCTTTGTTGTTTGTATGATAATGACACGTTGATAGGAAAAATCTTTCTTTGGGTTTGGGAGAAAGCTGGTCATCAGAACGACTCAACCTCATTTGGGACACCAGGAGGTTAAAGTATTAATTTTACAATGAAACAATATACTTTGTTATAAAACATGGATTTTAATAGCAAAGCAAGCCCAGGCTTCTCTCTGAGCACCTTTTCACTGGCGAACGTGAAAAACAAGATCACCGCCTCCGGCAGGCAGGAGGCCAGTGCTGTCTTATGAGACTTCATGGAGGAGTTAGGACACTGATCTCTTCCTCTTCCCTCAGGAACACTTTGCCAGAAGCCTCACGTGAGTCAGCATCCCTTGACCACTTTGTTAGAAGCCAGACTGCCAGCAGAGGCACAAAAATCAGAGGAATGCACCCTCCCTCAAGGTCTCAGATGTCCTGGAACTACCCAATGCCCTTTAGAATCCTTGTAAAATTCAAGACAAAAATGTCAGCCTGGTGTGGTGGCTCACACATGTAATCCCAGCACTTTGAGAGGCTGAGGCAGGAGGATCATTTGAGCCAGGAGTTCAAGGCTGCAGTAAACTGCGATTGTGCCACTGCACTCCAGCCTGGGTGACAGAGCAAGAGCTTGTCTCAGAAAAACAAAAAACAAACACAAAAAAGAACAAGAAGTCAAGAAGACCCTGCAGTGGTTTTAAATAAGTAAAACCAGATGTATTGTCCTAAGCCTATGATATGTTTGTTTGTTTTCTAGGTGTCTTTTTTTTTAATAACAGTTTTTTATTTGTGCATTACATCCTCGAGGATCTTGCCTGTCAACAACCTCCAGGACTACACCATAAGTGGCTCCATAAACACTTGTCGTGGAACAAGGTTAGAAAATTGAGTTTTCTGGCCAGACATGGTGGCTCATGCCAGCATGCTGGGAGCCTGAGGCAGGAGGATCGCTTGAGCCCAGGAGCTCCTGTGTGTGTGTGTGTGTGTGTGTGTGTAAATATATATTTTTATATATACATATATACCCCCACAGATACACACACACACACACACACACACACACACACACACACACGCATACATATATTATTCTGGCCTTAAATTTAAAAGCAGAGCTTTCCAAGTGGGGTTCCAGGTGGTCAAGCTTGGCTCTGATAGAGCAGTTCTAGTGAAGCAGAGAGAAGAAAAGCACAGGGGTTGGGGAAAGGAGGGGTAACGACCTGAGGCCCTGCCAGTTTGGGTCTGCTCTCTTGAGCTGTCTGAAGTAGATGTCTAATTAGGTTTTCAGAGTGTGAAGAGCACAGGGGCTTGCCTGCCCAGTGCTTACTCTGCTAATGAATTTCTGAATTTCTCACTGGCAAACTGGTCTCCAGAAATGCCCTCAACAAACTCTCCAAAGGAAAAAAGCAACAGAATGAGAACAGAAACCTGAAGCATCCTGTGCAGCTCTTTGGTTTTTACTGAGAGACTGGGTCTCGCTCTGTCACCCAGGCTGGAATGCAGTGATGTGATTGCCACTCACTGCAGCTTCAACTTCCCAGGCCCAAGCTTCTTCCCACCTCAGCCTCCCAAATAGCTGGGACTACAGGCACATGCCACCATACCCCACTAATGTTTTAAATTTTTGTAGAGACCAGGTCTTGCTATGTTGCCCAGGATGCTCTGGAACTCCTGGGCTCAAGCAATCCTCTCGCCTCAGCCTCCCAAAGTGCTGGGATCACCGGTATAAGCCACCAGGCCTGGTCTATTGCTGCTTTTAGTCACTAAGTGGTAACAATACTTGTTAGAACACTGGTGTTTGCAACTTATTGTAAGCCACCATGCTCACTCACCCCACTATCACTGTTACATGAAGGGTAAGATAAGGTTTGCTACTTATTGTAACAATGGAACACCTGACTCCGTGTGTGTGTGTGTGTGTGTGTGTGTGTGTGTGTGTGTGTGTGTGTGTCTATTCCCTCTCAAAAACAAACAACAGCTCCTCTCCCCAACCCTCTCCCTCCTCCATCTCTCTCTCTCTCCCCCTCTCCCTCCTCCCCCTCCCCCTCTCTTCCCCTCCCCCTCTCCCCCCCTCCCTTCCCCTCTCCCTTCTCTCCCTCCTTTTCTCCCTACCTCCTTCCCTCTCCCTCTCTTCTCTCCCCTTCTCTCCCCCCTCCCTCTCTTCCTCTCTCCCCTTCTTTCCCTCTCTCCCTCTCTCCCCTTTTCTCAAGAGGCCCTCCTTCCCTCCCCTCCCCCATCTCTCTCCCTTCTTCCCCATCTCTCCCCTTCCCTTTCTCTCTCTCCCTGTCCCTTTTCCCCCACCCCTCTCCACCTAAAATAAAAAATAAAACAAACAAACAAACAAACAACAAAATAAATAAATATATATATATAGGCACATATATATATATATATATATATATATATATATATATATATGCCATGTTGGTCAGGCTGGTCTTGAACTCCCGGGTTCGCCTGCTTCGGCCTCCCAAAATGCTGGGATTACAGGTCTCAGCCACGACACCCAGCTCCCCTATATATTTTTTTGCTGATCAAGATCTCTTTTCCTGCCATCAAGGCTAATGCTAAATGGGTACTCAGTTGTCCAGCCTCATGGCCAGGGCATTCAGGTTCCTCTATGCCAGGTTCCTCCATTACATTATTTGAGTGCCATCCTGCCTACTATCACTGAAGGCTAAAACTCTAAAAAAGTGAAGGTGATTGTTTTGGGGGAAGGACAAATTCTTGTTTCTGGAACAGAGTAGAAGATTTGAGAAACTATAGGCCCTTGAGCAAAAGAAACCCAAGCAAGAAAGGAGGTCAGTATGCCCAATCCCTTCAATGAAGAGGGAAGAAACAAACTAGTAAAAAGGCAGAGAGCCCGGGGAGAAGTGGACGCAGGCGGGGAGCTGGCTTCTTGCTGAGGTCGACCTTTCCGGCTGGGATACGGCAGGGTCTGGCCACATGACCAGCCAAGCCTGCAGCCCCAACTTAGCAGAACCCACGGGGATTTGAGGGCAAGGTAGCTGATGACAACCAAAATGTGTGCCAACAACACTCTGCCACGTATACTGCCTGGGGGATGGAGAAATCCCTCTGTCAGCTTTCAATGGACTCATTTAATTCATTGAACAAATCTTTATGAAGTGTCTACAATAGGCCAATATTATTTCTTTCATTTAGTCTGACCACAAGGAGATGTTCTTTAAGGAATCTATAGTTTATGTGAGCTGGATTGAATACTGATTCTTTTCATTTCAGTTGACCCATCTTGCTTCCCAGCCTCTCATCTGTCTCCCTCCTCATGCTCCTACCTCCAATCCTACTGATGCTTCTTCTTCTCCATATCCACTTCCCCAGGCCAAGACCGCTTACTCCAGCCCAGGCTTCACTAGACTTCTGCCATGCCTGACTCCATTTCCACACATCCAAATACTTCAGGCCTCATTGTTCTTCTCCCTGTGACATTTCAGCTCCACCATGGTGGCCTTGCCTAACCTGGTCCTCTCCCGGATTTCACGGCAGCTGGTACTGCCCACAGCCACACCATTTCACAGAGCCTCATATTCACACCCTGAAAACCTCCCAACTTCTGCAAGCCCTAAGTGCAATCTCTCTGCCTTTGCCTCTTCTCTTGCTTTCCCCAACCCTGCTTTGTGTTCTCACGGGGAGCACTCGTCCCTCAGCCTTGCCCACTTCTCCCAAACCACTGTCCTCTTGCAAGTGACATGAGCATAAGCTGCCAGTACGCTGAGCCCATTCTCCCTTTCTTCTGGGGCACAAAGCAAGTCTCCCAGTTCTCACCGCACTTAGGCATTGCCATGTGACTGGATTTTAGGCAACAGTGTGAGTAGGAAGAATGTACGTAACCCCTAGGCCCTGCCTTGAAAGCATCTGCACACTCTCTTCCAGGCACATTCCTCAAGACAACTGACTGGGCTGTAAAATTTACAATCTTAGGATGAAGACAAAATGTGCATTTTAAAAAATGATGGACAAAGTAGATCATAAACTGCTGGGGTTTGTGTATGTTGATACGGTTAGGCTTTGTGTCCCACCCAAACCTCATTTGAACTGCAATCCTTATAATCCCCATAATCCTCACATGTCAAGGGAGAGGCCAAGTGGAGGTAACTGAATCATGGGGGTGATTTCCCCCATGCTATTCTCTTGATGGTGAATGAGTTCTCATGAAATCTGATAGTTTTATAAGGGGCTCTTCCCCGTTTGCTTGGCACTTCTCCTTCCTGACACCTTGTGAAGTTGTCATGTCTTCTCTTCCACCATGGTTGTAAGTTTCCTGAGGCCTCCCCAGCCATGCTGAACTGTCAGTCAATTAAACCTCTTTCCTTTATAAATTACCCAGTCTTGGGTATTTCCTTATAGCAATGTGAGAATGGACTAATATATGTGTCTTAAGCTGTGCTGTACAAACAGCACCACAAGTGGCTGAGAAGTTGGCCGAGAAACAAATGGCCCAGGCTGTCTAGAACAAGGCAGGGAGTACGCTGCAGAGAAGCAGGGGCGGTGAGGACAGGCCAGGACAGGCAGAGGGCCACACGTCCTGGTCTCAGAGTAGTGGAGAGTCTGACAACTCTGGACATAAAAGCAGAAAGTAAGTCTGAAACCCTCAGGTAAACCATGGTGAGAAAACAAAGGCAAGAGGCCAGGCATAGTGGCTCACTGTCTGCAATCCCAGCACATTGGGAAGCTGAGGCGAGAGGATCACTTGAGCCCAGGAGTTCAAGACCAGCCTGGGCAACATGGTGAAACCTCATCTCTGCTAAAAATACAAAAATTAGCCAGGTGTGGTGGCACAAACCTGTAATCCCAGCTACTCAAGAAGCTGGGTGAAAGAATCACCTGGCCTGGGAGGTTGAAGCTGCAGTGAGCCATGATTGTATCACTGCATTCCAGCCTGGACACTGAGAGTGGGACACTACCTCAAATAAATAAATGAATAATGAATAACCATTCCTGAACTCTCCTAACCTGGCTCTCTAAAACATGCTCTGGGGAAAGGGCACCCCCAAAGAAGATGAGAAGCTGCGTTCCAGGGCAGGGATCATAGGAGTTTCTTCAGCTACGAATGAGGCTCCTGATGAGCAGAGAGGGAGCCCAGTGGGCTGGACAGGGAGCCCAGGTGTGGGCTGGGGTGATAACAAGCTCCTAGGGACATGTTCATTTACTGTCAGCATCAGGAAGTCTGAAGTGTGGAAGTACTAGCACAAGGAAGGAAGCTACTTTAAGTAAAAATGGACCCGGGCTTCTGGATTTTCTAGCCACATCTCACCAGAAAATACTCATGGATGAGAGTGGCAGCCATTCAGGAGGCTCACCTAATCAGCCCCATCCATAAGTCCTCTCATGCACCCATCTCATTTTACTCTCCCAGTCATGCTGGAGGTTTGGAACTGTCATTTTCATTTTACACATCAAGAAATTAAGAGTAAATCATGGCAAAGCTGATTGAAACTTTGGTTTTCTAACTCCATGTCTTTTTAACAGTACTCTTTTATCAAATACAAATTCCTGCCAGATTCTTGGCTGGATACTGGGTATCCAAAATGAATAAGACAGTTTAGTTTCTCAAGGAGATGATGATTTAGTGGGTAACAGGCATGAAAACAAAACAGAAAGAGGTTATAAGCACTAAAAAAGCAGAGTACAGGGGGACAAAGAGGTAGTCATGGCCTGCACCTAGCAGACATACAATAAATCGCCATCCAGTAAAATCCTTTGAGCAACTACTATGTGCTAAGCACCATTTGGGAATACAGCAATGAGGAAAAAAGGTAGAATCCCTGCCCCTAACACTCCAGTGGAGGGAGCTTACATTCTTGTATCAAGTGGATATACAGATAAATGGATGGATGGATGGATGGACAGATGGAGACAGTCAGATACACAGGTCTTTGTGAAGTAGATTAAGTTAAACTGATTTTTTTTTTTTCTTTTTTGAGACAGGGTCTTGCTTTGTTGCTCAGGCTGGAGTGCAGTGGCGCAATCTCGGCTCACTACAGCTCCTCCCCCTGGGCTCAAGTGATCCTACCACCTTGGCCCCCCAAGTAGCTGGGACTACAGACATTCAACAGCACACCCAGCTAATTTTTTTTTTTTTTTTGTAGAGATGGGGTTTCGTCATGTTGCCCAGACTGGTCTTGAACTTCTGAGCTCAAGCAATCCACTTGCCTTGGCTTCCCAAAGTGCTGGGATTACAGTTGTGTGCCACTGCACACTGGGCCTGAAATGAACCTTAAAAATGATAAAAAGGCATCAGTCAAGGAAAGGAGGGCCGGGCATGGTGGCTCACACCTGTAATCCCGGCATTTTGGGAGGCCAAGGCAAGAGGATCCCTTAAGGCCAAGAGTTCCAGGCAAGACTGGAATACATAGAGATCCCTTCGCTAAAAAAAAAAAATGTTTAATTAGCGAAACATAGTGACACATACCTGTAGTCCCAGCTACCTGGTGGCTGAGGTGGGAGGATTGCCTAAGCCCAGGAGGTGGAAGCTATAGTGAGCTACGACCGTACTACTGTATTCTAGCCTGGGTCACAGACCAAGAAAGACCGTGTCTCTAAATGAATGAATGAATGAATGAAGATCGATAGATAGAAAAAGAAAAAGCCAGGAAGGAGGAGCAACACCGGGAAGATCAAGCAGGGGTTTATCAAGCTGGGCTCGCTGCGGATCTGCAGGTGGTTCCCTCTGGCTAAACATCTGTCAGGCAAGAGATGACAGTAGGGGGAAGGCAGGAGCCACAGAGTTTGGATCTGCCCTGCAGGTCACACAGAATGAAAAGAAGATTAAGAAGAGTCATAACAAAGATGGTACAACTAATCATAAATGCGATTAAAGGTTTATATGCTGGAAAGATTCCTCTCTCAAGTAAACTGAGAACTCTCAAAGTATTAAAATTGACGATTTAGAGAGTTCACATAGCAAGCAAGAAGCCATGTAGTCTGGAGGGAAAAGCTTGGGCTCAGAAGTCAGATTAAAACTCCAGCTTTGGCACACTTGTGTGACCTTGAGTGAATCACTTTACTGCTCCGAGCCTCAGATTTTCATCAATAAAACAAGTGTCTTACACCCACCTGACAGAGCTGTTGTAAGGATCAGAGATACTGTACGATGTACAAGTGTGTGACATCTAGTAGAGTCCCCACACGATCATTTTTAGCCATCATAAGTTAAAGGAATCCCTAGACCTCTGAGGCTCCCATGCTGGAGAATAACCCCAGTCTCCTGAGAGCCATCTCTTTGTCCTCCTGACAGGAACCACACACTGAGTTGCAGACTGAGCCAGTCCTAAACAGCAAGTCCTGGGTTCTTTAACAAATAACCTTAATGGGGCATTTAAACAGGGAGGCTTTGTGACCCAGACATTTCCCTCAAGACAGGAAATTTAGAAATCGATCATTTTCTGATTAGCCCACCATATTACATTCCCTTCCCTCCTTCTTTTCTTCTTTCCTCCCTCCCTCCCTCTCTCTTTCTTTCTTTCCTGATTTATTTAGTAGAGATAGGGTCTCGCTATGTTGTCCATGTTGGTCTCAAACTCCTGAGCTCAAGCTTCAAGCAATCCTCCTGCCTTGGCCTCCCACAGTCCTGGTGTGAGCCACTGTACCCAGCCCACATTGCTTAATGATACCAATAACCCAACATTGTCCCAAATCTATATCTCTTCCTACAAGGCTTAAAGAAATGGAAGCCATTATTTTTAAATAAAATCATTACATAAAGGCTAATTCCTAATATTTATTCTCAAGTAAGCCCACTAAGATGACTGGCCTCCACCAACACACCACCTATGTAGATAGGTTTTGAATCATTATGCAACAAACTCAGTTCACAAGCTCAGGTCTTTTGGAGTTCTTATACCAAAGATCAGAAAACTATAGAAGAATCCTAATTGGTTTCTAAACAAAAGAGAAGGAAAGTCTTGCTTCCCCAAAATAGAATTAACATTCCACACTATCAAGAAACCCAGTTTAACTTATCGTTTCATAAACTTGGATTTGTCATTGCTCTGGCTTGACGGGGAAGAGGCAGCTTACAGAATCTGCATAAGGTTTTTATGTACAGCGAATTGGTGTGCTGTCGTGTTGCCCCCTCCTCACCGTCACCCTCGCAACATTTCTTTCCTTTGTCCTCCCCGCCCCCCCAACATACCTCTTTGGAGCACCAGGCACATTTTGGGTGGATTAGCAGACATTCTTCACATGAGGTGGCACTTCCACTAGCACATATGTTGAGACCTTTAAAGCAAGATAAAGATGCACCAATTAGTTCCTGGCTATATATTTCATGGATCAGGCCTTTGAATAAGTGGGGGGAATTACTTCCTTCTTTAACAGCAGACCTCTCTGAGTCTGAAGGGTCCAGGTCCCAATGCTAATTGCAGGTTAAGGCTCATTTGCTGAGGCTGCACATTGAGTTTTTGAAGCATTCACCAAGCATGCACACTTGTGTTAGGCACTTCCGTTTCTTCTGCTGGGCCCACTTGGATTTTCATTTCCCCCATAACTCAGAAAATCCTCTTTCGCTGAGAGAGAACAAGGCCACTTTACATTTAGTCCATCCAAAATGACAAAAATAGTACAAAAAAGAAAAGAAAAAAGAACAGATTGGTTTTATTCAGGCATTTTTCAAAAAAGAAAATCCTAAATCAAATACTCTCACATCAAAATTTACAGTGTACTGAAAGAAGCCATGTATTCCAGGAATACAATGTTGAATTAAGATAGAGGAAATCCTTTGATTCCACGTATCTATTAATAGGTCAAATAAGAAAAACCCAAGGCTGGGCATGTTGTCACGCCCATAATAATCCCAACATTTTGGAGGCAAAGGCAGGAGGATTGCTTGAGCCTAGGAGTCTGAAACCAGCCTAGGCAAGATAGGGGCCCTGTCTCTAAGAAAGACAAAATTTCACTAGGTGTAGTAGTATGTACTTGTAGTTTCAGCTACTCCAGAAGCTAAGGCAGGAGGATCACTTGAGCCCAGGAGGTCAAGGTTGCAGTGAGCCATGATCATACCACTGCATTCCAACCTGGGCAACAGAGGGAGACCCAGTCCCAAAAGACAAGAAAAAAAAAAAAAAAAAAAAAGAAAGAAAAGAAAAGAAAAGAAACCGAAGAACCACCCCAAAATGGAAAGACATCCTGTGCTCATGGTTTGGAAGAATATTATTAAAATATCCATGCTATCCAGTGTAAAAATTTAATTCACTCTTTATCAAAATTCCAATGGTGTTTTTCACAGAAATAGAAAAAACAATCCTAAAATTTATACAGAAGCACAAAAGTTTGTATGAAACCTGAATAGCCAAAGCAATCGTAAGCAAGAAGAACAAAGGTGGAGGTATTTTATTACCTGATTTCAAAATATACTACAAAGCAACTATAATTAAAACAGCATGGTACTGGAATAAAAACAAACATACAGACCAATGGAACAGAATAAAGCACCCAGAAATAAATCCAGGCATTTACAGTGAATTGGTCTTCAACAAAGTGGTCAAGAACACACAATGTGGAAAGGCTGGTCTCTTCCATAAATGGTTTTGGGACAACCAGATATCCACATACAGAATGAAACTGGACACTTATCTCACACTGTATTTTAAAAATCAACTCAATATGGATTAAAACCTTAAATGTAACACCTGAAATGTAAGACTGCCAAGAGAAAACATACAAGAAAGCCTTCCTGACATTGGACTAGGCAATGATTTTTTAATATTACCCTAGAAGCACAGGCAACAAAAATGAAAATAGGCAAATGGAATTCTATCAAACTAAAAAGCTTCTGCACAGCAAAGAACAGAGTGAAGAAACAACCTACTACATGCAAGAGAATATTTGCAAACCATACATCTGATAAGGGGTTAATATCCAAATACATAAAGAATTCAAGCAACTCAATGTTAAGGAAACAAATAACCCAATTAGAAAAATGAGCAATGGGCCAGGCTTGGTGGCTCACGCCTATAATCCCAGCACTTTAGGAGACTGAGATGGGTGGATCACCTGAGGTCAGGGGTTTGTGACCAGCCCGGGCAACATGGTGAAACCCTGTCTTTACTAAAAATACAAAAATTAGCTGGGTATGGTGGTGCACCTCTGTAATCCCAGCTACTTGAGAGGCTGAGGCACGAGAATCACTTGAACCCAAGAGGCAGAGGCTGCAGTGAGCCAAGAGAGCACCACTAAACTCCAGCCTGGGCAGCAGAATGAGACTCTGTCTCAAAAAAAAAAGAAAAGAAAAATGAGCAACAGACCTAATAGATATTTTCCAAAAGAAGACATACAAATAGCTAACATGTACATGAAAAAATGTCCCACATCACCAATCATCAGGGAAATGCAAGTTAAAATGACAATAAGCTATCACTGCATACCTGTTAGTACGGCTATTATCAAAAAGACAGGCCAGGGCCGGGCGCGGTGGCTCACGCCTGTAATCCCAGCACTTTGGGAGGCCGAGGCGGGTGGTTCACAAGGTCAAGAGATCAAGACCATCCTGGTCAACATGGTGAAACCCCGTCTCTACTAAAAATACAAAAAATCAGCTGGGCATGGTGGCATGTGCCTGTAATCCCAGCTACTGAGGAGGCTGAGGCAGGAGAATTGCCTGAACCCAGGAGGCGGAGGTTGCGGTGAGCCGAGATTGCACCATTGCACTCCAGCCTGGGTAACGAGAGCGAAACTCCGTCTCAAAAAAAAAAAAAAAAAAAAAGA